TGTTTTATTACTAGAATCAACATCTGAAGATCACTCGTGATATAGACTGAGATATTTGCACTAAAGTTTCAACATCAAATCACTTCAATTGAAGACACTAGACTGGAGTATATAAGGACTAGCAACTGCTTAGGCATAAATCTGTTTTAAAGTCTTCTTTAGAAGATATAAGCTTAATCACCATGTTAATTTTTCACCAACTCACCCCTCAAGGTGCTAATGCTTGACGAACCTACTCGGTATGGATCCATCTGCCCGCAGGTTTACTTGGGAACTGCTTCAGAAGTACCGTGACGGACGAACGATCTTGCTGACGACACATTTCATGGACGAGGCCGACGTTTTAGGAGACCGCATTGCGATAATGGCTGAGGGCAAAATCCGTTGTTGTGGTAGTTCATTTTGAAAACCATTATGGCGTGGGTTATCATATAGTGATGGTCAAAGAACCATAATGTAAAAACACAAAATTGACGAACTTGTTAAAGACTATGTCCCGAATGGCCAATTGGAAAGTCGCGCTGGTAAGTTTTGATGCATTTCTAGGAGACTTTATAGGGTTGAGCCTGCAGAGATATGAGCCAGCAGCTAGCTGCCGGATACGATAGAGTGACGAGCGTTGAATTATTTTAGCAAGTTGAAACAAGGCAAAATTTATTATTTGACAAATTCATATGAACGTTTTCCTATTAAAAAAACAATTGCCCAACATAAAATTCGAATTAAAGCCATTATTGAAAAGAAATAATATTTTATTGGTAGTTACGTTTTTTCTATACACAAGACATCATCAGACTATTAATTAAGTTTCACTTCGTGACGTAGATGTTTGTCTTAATCTGAAAAACAATTGATTTCAAAGACTCTCGAGATATACAATACATGTATGCATAAATTTTATTTCAGAAGAATGAAACCTCAGCTCGAACTAGGCTGGCATTTGTTGAGAAGGCGTTGTATTTTTACCAACTTTATCATATTTTATCAGTATGAAGGTTAAATATTATACATTTCTTTTAAGTGTTTTCGATGTAGTGTTTAGCCAGTAGACCTTTTGCAATACTTTTTACCTACGTTAGGCGCTGAATTGTCATACATCTTGCCTCGAGAATCTTCGGAATTTTTCCACGTTGTTCTCAGAACTGGAGACTCGACGAAAGGAGCTGGGAATTGCTAGTTATGGCGCTTCAATGACAACCATGGAAGAAGTTTTTATGAAAGTGGGAACGGAATGTGACGACACGTTAGATGATAGACTAAAAGGTAAGCTGTGGTAAAGGTGGTAAGTGTTGATTTCCTGGATAAATGAAAGTAAAAGATTGTGATGGACATTACATCATAGACTCAAAGGTTAGTTATGGTAAAGGTGGAAAGTGCTGATTCTGGGATAAATGAAAGTAAAGATTGGATGGGACATTGATGATAGAGTCGAGAATAAGTTGTTGTAAAAGTGGTAATTGTTGATTTATAAGAATATCAATGAAAGTAAAGATTGCGACGAGGTTTTTGAAGATAGACTGAGAGTTTCGTGGTGAATGGTAATTGTTGATTGATTGGGATCTCAAAAGTAAAGGATCATGACGAGGTATTAGATGATAGACTCGTGAGTAAGCTGTGGCAAAAGTGGTAATTGTTGATTGATTGAGATCAATGGAGCAAAGGATCAAGGACGAGGTTTTAGATGATAGACCCGAGTAAGCTAAGGTAAAAGTGGTAATTGTTGATTGATTGGGATATCAATAAAAGTAAAGGATTGCGACGAGGTTTTAGATGATAAAATTCGAGAGTAAGCTGTGGTAAAAGTGGTAATTGTTGATTGATTGATATCAATGAAAGTAAAGGATTGCGTCGATTTTAGTGATGACCATAAAGCAGCTGTGTGTAAAAGGGTAAGCTTGATTGATCGGGATATCAATGAAAGTAAAAAGATTGCGACGAGGTTTTAGATGTGACTCGTGAGTAAGCTGTGGTAAAGTGGTAAGTGTTGATTAGATATAAATATCAATGAAAGTGAAGGATTGCGACGAGGTTTTAGATGATAGACTCGACAGTAAGCTTCGTAGTAAAGTGGTAATTGTTGATTGATAGTGATATCAATGAAAGTAAAGGATTGCGACGAGTTAGATGATAGGCTCGAGAGTGTTTGTGGTAAAAGTGGTAATTGTTGATTGATTGGGATATCAATGAAAGAAGGATTGCGTCGAGGTTTTAGATGAGACTCATAAGTAAGCTGTGTAAAAGTGGTAAGTGTTGATTGATCGGGATATCAATGAGTAAAGGATTGCGACGAGGTTTTAGATGTGACTCGTGAGTAAGCTGTGGTAAAGTGGTAAGTTTGATTAGATATGAATATCAATGAAAGTGAAGGATTGCGACGAGGTTTTAGATGATAGACTGACAGTAAGCTGTAGTAAAGTGGTAATTGTTGATATGATATCAATGAAAGTAAAGGATTGCGACGAGGTTTTAGATGATAGACTCAAGAGTAAGCGCTGTGGTAAAGTGGTAATATTTTATTATTTAACATTGACTCATTTCAGAAAATGCTGATTTGTGAAATTTAATTTGACCAACACTGAATAGTTGTTTTTTGTTCATGGTGTTTCAAGTCAAACTTTCTTTGTACGTCATCTAGCGGATGCAATAAACGCTTCATTAAGTACAGTGAATGAAGACACATTATATGGACGCAACAACAGCATGATGCCAATAACAAACACAACAAAGCCACAGTTAAACTACGGAATAACCTTGTTTCTGCAGAGGTGGTGTGCTATATTCAAGAAACGCTTTCTTCATTCGCGTCGACATAAAATAGCCATACCTCAGCTTCGTGCCTCTTATTTACACAATGCTTGCTCTGATTGCCATTGACATAAATCCTAAGCCCGAGGACTCTCCTCCCAGAATTTTAAAGACAGCTATGTTTCATGATAACATTGCGCCTTACTCAATTGTTGGAAACCCGAACAGGTAGGTATATTGAACTTAAATATAACTGGACGGCTACTTCCCGCCAAAATTTGAAGCCAGTAATTAAATTAGTCCCCATCTTTCCACGCACGGCCCAGAGAAACAGGCATGTTAATGTATAAAAAGTAGCTTTCCTAATGTATATTTAATCAAATGGGTGGATAATAGACATTTTTTGACAAATACTATGAAATGATTTCGAGGAATCAAATTACATATTATTCTGCTAAATTATGGTAAAATATGTTTGTGAATTGTTCGATTTAAATTCTTGGAATTGTTCGAATTTTCAAACCAGAGCCGTTCAATTTTATTTGGTTAAATTGTTCAGATTTTAAGAACAAAATGCTTGAATTTTTATGGTAAACTACTTAACGTGGTTCATCACCGGTTTTTAAAAGGAGACTTAGAAATTAACCTATTATTTTCATTTCAATACCCCATCACTGTGCTAAACCCTCTTTAGGATGAGTATATATAATCAGCGACGTGCTTTTGTTTCATATCTTTGTTACAACAAAACCTTTTCGTTTCTCTCAGTAAACTAAACTTTGCAGCAAAACATGCTGAATGGTGCGCGCCCGGATTTAAAATCCCGATTAGACATTAAAATTTGATGTAAGCGTAAATAAATCTTTTCAGGGAGATAAATGATCTGGCTAAATGTACACAACTCGGCAAGCTCGTACACTAAGTTCGTTGATATCGACAAGGATAGTGTCTGATGGGGAACATGACCAAATATTTGCTAGAAAAAGCCAAAGGAAGAAACATTGGATACTTCAACAGACATTATCTGGTTGCAGCGACATTTACTGAAGCAAATAAAAAGGTATTGCTTACTGTGTAGCTACATTGTTTCACCCTCCGTGAGGTGTGTAACTATGATGAGGAAATAGTTCTAACAATATTTGTCAATTTATGCTTTTAATGAGTTTAAAATGTTGTAAGGGGATCAAGAAAGACTTGTCCATCGAAAAAGGTCTGTAGATAAAGAAAGTATCAAGGAAGTTTATGAAGATCGAGGAAGAATTTCTAGATCAAAGAAGGATTTAGATCAAGGAAAGATTTATCGTAGATGGACGAAGAATCTGTAGATCAAGAAGGAATTTTTAATCAAAGAAGGATCTGTAGATGAAGGAAGGATCTGTAGATGAAGGAAGGATCTGTAGATGAAGGAAGGATCTGTAGATGAAGGAAGGATCTGTGGATGAAGGAAGGATCTGTAGATAAAAGAAGGATCTGTAATCGAGGAAGGATCAAGGAAGGATCTATCTGTAGATCAACGAAGAAACTTTAGATTAAGAAGGATTTTTTAATCAAGGAAGGATCGGTAGATGAAGGAAGGATCTGTAAATGTAGAAAGGATCTGTAGATCAAGAAAGATCTGTAGATCAAGGAAAGATCTATCTGTAATTGTTTTCACCATCTCTGAAGGTGTAAATCATGATGGAATAGTTCTTATCAATATCTGTCAATTTATGCTTTTTAATGAGTTCAAAAATGCTGTAAATGGGATTTAGTGGACTGTCCATCGAGAAAGGTCTGTACATAAAGAAAGTATCAAGCAAGTATATGTACATCGAGAAGAATTTCTAGATCACAAAGAATCTGTGTAGGTCAAGAAGGATTTTTCATCAAGGAAGGATCAGTAGATCAAGGAAGGATCTAGATGAAAGAAGGATTCAGATCAAGAAAGGATCTGTAGATCAAGGAAGGATCTGTAGATCAAAGAAGGATCTTAGATCAAGGAAGGATCTGTAGATCAAGAAAGGATCTGTAGATCAAGGAAGGATCTGTAGAGAAGGAAAGATCTGTAGATCAAGGAAGGATCTGTAGATGAAGGAAGGGTCTCTAGATTAATAGAAAACATAAATATGAGGTAGATCAGCTAAGAATCTTGGCGAATTTAAGGTAATTTATGTGTGTTCTTATTTAGCAATAGCCAAGGCTTGGTTCAACGATCAAGCTTATCATGCGATAGCGGTGGCACTGAGTGCAGTGGACAACGCCATTTTGAAAAACAGTCCGGGAATAAAAACAAATTAATCACAGTGACAAATCATCCTTTGCCGAGAACTACGAAGCAAAAATCAAATGATTTAGATGAGTATGTTATTTTTGCTTTCGAGCTTTTCCCAAACTTTCACAAATAGGGACAAGTAAAGATAATATTTTTGTATTTCCAATGAATAGCGCTTTAATAAAACATTATTCACTGTTAAATTTTCTATGAAAGCCACTCAATCTGGAGTTGAAAAACGGTTTTTTTGAGCATTCAACCAATCATCCACAAAATTATTAGTCCATCCCGAAGAAACGAGGTCAGAATTGATATTATCCCATGCAATAAGCCGTCTCTCATTATGCAATGGGGACTCCTTAACCTGGGACACAGGATGTGTGTATATATATATATACAAAGTGTATATACAATGTGCCCTCCCGGCTATCACCATATTAAAATGGTGACTCCTGCACTTGGAACACAGGACGTACGGTTACACACATTGTATGTGGATTGTATTATAGAGTCACCAGAGGCTCAAACCTATAAAGGTGAGCTTTGCATAGAATAGGACGTTCCATTTTGACTTCTGATATCCGACAGTGCTATATATATATATATAGCACTGTCGGATTGTGTAGAGAGTCTCAAAATGGAGACGTTCACCGTTTACACTTTGTATATATATATCTATATATACAAAGTGTGATCAATCACGAAACAGGCTTGTGGGATGAATCTGTAGTTTTGTAATTTTTCTCAACACCACTACACATATATATATATATAAGTTTGAAAATTTGTAATCCAGGCATTTAATACATAAAAGATAAAAAGTTTCTCCGGATTTAAAGTGAGTTTTATTGAGCTTCGACTATGCTTATATATATGTATATGAGAGACTGATTTATTCCTGACATACGACTGTGTTCACTTCAAAGGCAGGGATCGCTGAGCATATTTTTTGTTAGGGGGCGGGGTTATCGACTTCCAAAGTTAGGTAAAACTGTGAAAGAAGGGATTCGGGGGGGGCAGCCCTCAGTCCCCCTGCTCTGCTTTCTCCGAAGTGATCTACAAATGATCAATAGTTGCTAAGGCAAAAAGGTCTAATCAATAGTGGGATGCAATAGCCCCTAGTCCCTCTGCTCCGTTTTCTTTAAAGTGATCTGCCAACGATCAATAGTTGCTAAGGCAACAAGGTCTAATTCATTAACTTTCTTTTTCTATCCAGCAACACTGGTGGTCTTAATATAGCTTTCAATCTGCTGTTTGGCATGGCGTTTCTTGCTTCAAGTTTTGTCGTGTTTGTCGTCCAGGAGGGAACGAACGGTGCAAAACATGTGCAGTTCGTTAGTGGCGTTGATCCCATTAGCTACTGGACTGCTTCGTGGTTGTGGGACATGGTGAATTTCACACTTCCCTGTATCGGCGTTGTTATTTTGTTTGCATGTTTTAACGTTCCTGCGTACACAGGTAGGTCGAATTTCCCAAGCTTTGACGTAGCTTGCATTTGGTCATGTTATGTAGATTTTTATGTACTCTTTGTAAAAACAGTAAATAATGTTCTGAAATTTACACAGCAGGACTGAAAATTGCAGGTTGGATTTTTCATTGTCGTCATGGTCGCCAAAACGATTCACTTGCCTTTGGCAAATTTGATTCTGCGTTGTCAATATCTTCCAATAAAACGGCATTTGCATGATCATTCAGCCAATCCGAACGTTGTGATCCAATAAAGTTATTTTACAAAATGATCGAGGACTCCTCGTAGTTGTCGAAATACTTGTTTGTAAGGAGAATGAACTCGACCCAAGCCCCTAATCTCTCGGCTAATCAACCAACTTTAAACAATTCCAATAGTTTTTGATGACAAAATCACGTCAAGGTTACGACGTTGAGTCTGGTATGCGACTGTGAGCCTGTGATAGCAACATACTTTAATACTTAAGATACGATCTTTACAGATGTTTGGCAGTGGAGTTAGCTCACAGCATTTATATTTGTCTTTTTAAACACATTTTTCACTTGAAAGTTCGTGGAAGCACAGAATTGCATGTCAAACGTCACATTAAGCTCTCGGTCAACCCTTAAAAATTCCAACAATTCCGTTGAAGTTAGCAACGTTCGATCGTGAATTTTCCCATTTCGCACAATTCTCAAAACTGATTTTAATTCATTGCAGAAGGCTATCGTCTTGGAATAGTTTTTCATTTTGATGTTTTATGGTTCAGCCATCATCCCGTTTATGTATCTCTTCTCGTTTCTCTTCAAAACGGCGTCGAAAGCTTTCATCTTATTGACGTTGTTAAATATTGTAACTGGTCTTGTCGCCTTGCTTGTTGTGTTCATCATTCAGAGTCTTGACTACCATCACACTGTTGATGTCCTTAACTGGACTTTTGGTACCCCAACTTTTGCCTCGGACAGTCGTTCTCCAATATTTTTGAGAATTATAACCGTATCAGACTTTACAATATGCATAGGTATGCGCCAGTGATGCATGTCTCAGAAAGCGAGGATTCAGACGAATTATTTGGCCTTTGAAAATCCTGAATTGGTCGATTTCTCCTGGTGTTACCACTTGAAGGAATCTTCTTCATGCTTATTATTCTGTTCATCGACTTCAACGCTATTCGGTCGTTGCGAAGTTCCATTACATTGGTGTACGTCGATCCGTTAGACAGCATGCATCCAAACGATGAAACGGAAGATTCCGACGTGATGGCGGAAAAACGACGAATACTCAACGACGAAGTGAACGAAGACGTGCTTGTAGTGAAAGATCTTACGAAAATATTTAAAGTTCCAGGTAAAGAATTTCGCCTTGCTTTGTTTTAATAGCTTTCTTTTGTAGATGTGTTGAAAAGAAAGCCTTCTTTTATCAGTCGAAATCATGTCAAAAAAATTTTCGTTTTTTAACACAATATTTTGGAAAGTTAAAAAAGATGGTTTGGATGAGTTCGTTGTGCTTGATTGAAAATATAACTTATCAATTTTTTACCACTAGAAAAGTCTTCACATACAAAACGGGCTTTTAAAGTGTCTATGAAACAAAAATTTTGCTGTTTAACTAATGGTTTTGTTGAAATGAAACTTTTAAAATGTCAGTAGACTTTCTTAAACAGTTTATGTTATATCTATGACATCTTGTTTTATTAGAGGGACCTGTAATGGCCGATTTTACAACCAGTGTTGTCGCGTTGCATAATGAAACTTAAATTATAATGTATATTTACATAATTTGCATCAGTAAATTATAAAATGTATATTAATGATGTGTTTGTTCAGATGGGCAGAGCTCTCTTCGTAGTAACATGTCTGTACAAAAACTCTCTCCAACGGTTGTACTTTCATAATCTGGAGAATGAAACAAGATTGTCTTGAAAATATACAACACTCATTGTCTGGAGAATGAAATGAGATTTTCATGAAGACTTTTGTAAAAAGTTCACTGTCATTTTTAAACTTCTATTCAATGAAAATCTATAAAAGAACAAAGCTCCTGCTTTATAAACACCTTATTTTTTCCCGAAAGGTCGTCGAAGATTTGCTGCAGTGGATCACATCAGCTTGGGAATACCTTTAGGTGAATGCTCGGTCTCCTGGGAGTCAATGGCGCGGGAAAACTACAACGTTTAAAATGTTAACAGGCGATGTGATTCCAACTTCGGGCACCGTCCTTGACTCGTGGGATATTCAGACTAATTTAAGTCGAGTATGTTTTTATTGTTGTATATGATCAGTAGCGTAGCCAGCCTGCAGATTTACTTCCGCTATGTAAATTTTTAAAGATTACCATTATTCATGTCTTTATAAATCTATTTTCCTCACTGTCAGTAAATACAAAAATTTCAGGAAAGCGAAAGTGAAAAGTCGGGCTTGCTACGCTACTGTGTATGATTTGTTCGACCTTTCCCGCTTTACGTTCCGTTATATATTTATTTCAATTATCTGTCCGCGAACTGTAAACATGCTAGCCTCGTACCGAGGCGCTTTGATGCTCTAAACCATTTGTGCGAAAAAGTGCAGCGCGGGACGACATGCGCGAATAGAAAATGGAAAATTGTAACGCATGTAACAGCCAGCTAACGCGCGACGCCCACACACGTCACGTGACATTCAATTTGTTAATCATCAATAATTCAAAGCGCCTGGCTACGAGGCTGATCCGACATCAAGACTTTAAAGCAGTAATTCATCCTTAAGGAGACGTAAACGCCATTTAAAGGAATTTCATGCTTGGAATTTAGGATGTAAATTAAATAAAATTCGTAGTTAGTTTTGTTAGTTTAGCCATCGTACTAGTCTCGAACTAGTCATTTCTACGTCATTGCGGAAAGAGTTGATCAGGCAATGGTATGCATGCATCCATTGAGGAGGCTGTTATGCAAATTACAGGTTTGCAGATTTTCAACACTGTGTATACCATTGAAATGGTATAATAGTAGTAGTATTATGGGTTCTAGCGCACGAAAAGTGCGCTATAATCCCCATGTACTATACCATATAACCTTATAAAACTATTTTTATAACAGCTTAAAATAAGACCATGGTTCAAAGACGTCCCTCTGGTAAAAAGGTCATGTAAAAAAGCTGTGTAAAAAATAGTCATTGTTTCAAAGGGTAAAAATCTCGAGGTTACAATCTATCGTTTCAAAATATGGAATCTATATGTTTTGAAATATATAGGTGCGTTTAAATTTATAAACGGTCTTTATAAGCATTGTTTCGGAGAGGGTCGGCAGCGCAGAGCATGAAATGCCGAGCAGGGGAATGGAGCCTCGAGAATTCTTAAGCGACGGCGGGGAAAATTTTCACGAAGTGAATTCGGAGCGTCCCTTAGATTCGAAGAATATTCGAAGAATATTCGAGAATAACAGAGGCTTAAGAAATGCTCTTCAAAACCGTCTTTAATAATCAAGTGTTATTAAAATATCAGTAGCAGCGCGTGTCTTAGTGCATGTTCTTAATAATGGTTGTTTAATGTAATCAGCACATTTCATCAGCGCATGTATAATAATACAATGTTTTACAAAATATGGAATCTATATGTTTTTTAATCTGTCAAGCGTGTCTTAGTGCATGTTTTTCAACAATGGTTGTTTAATGTGATAGCACATTTCATCAGCGCATGTATAATACAATGTTTTACAAACTATGGAATCTATATGTTTTTAATTTGTCTGTCAAGCGCGTGTCTTAGTGCATGTTTTCAACAATGGTTGTTTAATGTAGATAGCACATTTCATCAGCGCATGTATAATAATACAATGTTGTACAAAATATGGAATCTATATGTTTTTTTAATTTGTCTGTCAAGCGAGTGTCATATAATTTTGTTAAAAGTGTTTTAATAATTGTTTCAGGATTTTGAATCTTTTGTATATCGCTTTTGTATTAATTACTTGTTACAAACAGTTATGTGATATGTAGTCAAACATGAGGATTATTCTTCATCTTAAGTTTTAGCTTGATAGTTATTTTAATAAATTTTTTAATTTTTCGATTTCATCATTTACAATTTTTTAGTTGATAGAATATTATCTTCTATAGTAGCCCTAAAATTTTGTGAAAACCATTAAATGACATAGATAATGTAGATTGATGTTGTGAATAAACTTGAATTTTGGTTAATCCATTAAATGCTGCCAATTTTCTTTTCCATTCATCATAACCTAGTGAAACTGAAGATTTTGTTGGTTCAATAATTAATAAAATATTATTATCTTTATCATCAACACAGTATACGTGATATAAATCTAGTAATGCATTAACTATTTTTCATTATCATTTGTTACTTTAATGATAAATTTTTTAATCTTATCTACCATCATATCTAATTTAATTGTTTTAGAGTTATCAGATGGATTTATTAATAAAGTGTAAATTCAATAAATTTAAAATTTTTAAAATAAATTCTGATAATATTTTGTCGGGTATTAAAATTTTATAATTTAATTGATTGCTATGGTGTACTACTTTACCATTTACTCTGCTATCAATCTCATTCTTTGTATAATAGTTAGTTAAATTAGAAGTCAAAGCATACTTACCATCAGCTTGTGTTTTAGTATAATAGTTATTTAAATTAGAAGTCAAAGCATACTTACCATCAGCTTGTGTTTTAGTATAATAGTTATTTAAATTAGAAGTCAAAGCATACTTACCATCAGCTTGTGTTTTAGTATAATAGTTATTTAAATTAGAAGTCAAAGCATACTTACCATCAGCTTGTGTTTTAGTATAGTAGTCATTAAATTTACCATCAGCTTGTGTTTTAGTATAATAGTTATTTAAATTAGAAGTCAAAGCATACTTACCATCTGTTTCAGTCTTTGTGTAATATTTATTTAAATTAGCAGTCAAAGAATACCTACCATCTGTTTCACTCTTTGTATAGAATTTGATAAATCATAAGTCAAAGCATACTTGAATTTGATCATTTTTTGTATAATAGTCATTAAATTTATTATTAACTTGTGTTTTAGTAGTGGTTATTGAATTTATTATCAACTTGAGTTTTATTATAGTAGTGGTTAAATTTATTATCAACTTGAGTTTTATTATAGTCATTAAATTTATTATTAACTTGAGTTTTAGTGTAGTAGTTATCTGATAGATGTGTTTTATCTACAGGTCCTTGTATATTTAAATTAATATCTGTTTTATCATACCCATAAAATAAGCTCATTTATATTATTCCTCAGATTTTATATCCGGTTTATTATTTTTATGTTCGTAAACATATTTAACGGTTGTTATGCCGCCTGATAAAAACCCTAAAAATGGTAATAGGGGTGATATTTTTTCTACTAAACTATAAACATCTCGTTTTAAAAGGTCGTCTGATTTAAGCTGTTTTGTTAATTTGGGATCTTCAATAGCATCAAACCCTTTTAATATATCTGAAAATTTTGATATAACTAAATCAGTTAAAAACTCATTAGCTTTTTGTAATCGTTTTTTCTCGTATTCAATGTATAATTTATCAATAATTTTTTGACTGGCTTTTTTAATGTAAGCAACTGACTTGTCTAAATCACCATCTTCAGCTAGTTTAAGTAGTTGATCTCTTTTATTAAAACCTCTTGCGGTTTATCTTGTATATTATCATCACATACAGCATCTTTGATAGTATCATTTGCGAAATCAATCTCATTAATTATATCGTCAATTGTTTCAGGCTCTTTACGCTTTGGCATATATATATTAACATATGTTTTATTGCGGAATAATTTTCCATTGGTATGGATATATTAGTTGAATAAATAGATGAGCAATTTATTATTTTTCAATTTTTTGTTATTTCTTCTATATCATCTTTATCAAACCATAAAGATAATCATCAAATATTGTTTTCATATTATTGCGGTTTGTATTATAAAATGCAACTAAATAACTTATATTTTCACGATAAGGTTTGGTAATACTTGTCAATTGCTGTGTAACTACAATAGTAGAAAGTCCATAATGACGAGCACTGAATGCTAAACGAACTAATTCAGATGTCCTACTTTTAACATCTAAGCAGCTAGCGCAACAATCATCGAGAATAATAAGACTATTTGTACCTTTATATACATCACTCACATATTTTAAAACAATATCTACCTGATCTTGGTCACATTCTACCTTAATTAAATCAGAATCATTTATATATTTCCATTCTTGATAGGTTTTATTATATGATAGCGTTGGGCATAATAAAATAATATAATCAAAATGTCTATTAAAGTTTTCTTCTAACATTCTTAAAAGAAAAGAAGGTTTTACCGCAATTTGTCATACCTACAATAATCATATTAAAAGGGTGTCATTTATATATTATGGTTATTTAGTATTGAATACTTTGTAAATCATTATTAACAAATTGAACAAGAGCATCACTAATGACATATGTAACAGTTTAAATCTTTTGTATATGCTCTTTTAATTTCAAGTAAACGCCATTTTGTGTATTCATAATCGTTTTCCGTTGCCAGCAATATTTTTTTCTTGAAAGGTGCGTAAATCAATAACTAATGCAAATTTATCCTTATAAAATTTTTCAATTGTCATGAAGCAATCTATCGGGATAGTTCTATCAAAAAATTTTCTTGCTTCTTCATAAAGAGTGTTTTATTCATGCCAGAACACAATTTGGGACACCCTCAATAGTTAATTTAACTTCATCAATGTTTGGTATATAAATTTTTCCTCTACTAACTGAACTTTCTGTGAATAGTAGACAACCCTTTCATGTTTTTTACGAGGTACATTGACGTTAACATTCTGTAATGTACTTGACTTATCCCATTTTTCCTTTTTTAAGAGGGTTATATGTTCATAAAATAGGCTTCTTCCTATAGAATATAAATTTGTCACCTCATTTGCAATTTCTTGGTTCAATAGTTTCATATTCAAGTTGAATATTTTCTAATTCATAATCACCTATATTTTGACCACTTTGGGGATAAGGACTTGATCACTTGGTGGTAATGTTATTATGTATTGAAAGTTATTATTCATATTGAAAGGCAATACAGACCATGGTCTTTAAGAATATTATCAATATTAATTTTTGTCTTATACCATAAATATCATACATTAATTTGTCTGATACTTTTTCTATACTTCCATTTGTTGCAGCACTATCATCT